AAATGTGTGTGTATGTGTGTGTGTGTGTGTGTGTGTGTATATATATATATATATATATATATAGTTATAGTAACCTTGACCTAGAGAGAGGTCCAGGCTAAAGCTATACATTTGGGATTTTCTACCATTTTGTAGATGATGTTTAAATCCATGAGGCTGGACACTCTTCCTTAAGGGATAAGCATAAATAATGGTGTCTGAAGGCAGAGATCTGGGCATTGCAACATTTTCACATGAAGTAGATGGGAAAAGACTAAAGAGATAAGAAAAGAAGGCTCAGTGAGATAGGAAGAGAATAAGAGAATGAGATCTTAGAAGCTAGATGAAGAAAGTGTTTCTGGAAGGAATTGATGAGGTGCTGCTAATGAGTTGAGAAAGGTGAGGACAGAGCCATTATTTTTAGTAGTAGAGAATCCACTGGGGACTTGACAAGGCCTGTGTTGTTGGAGTGGTGGTGACAGAAGCCTGATTTCAGTGAGTGTAAGAGAATATGAGGGGAAGAATTGAGGAAAAGGGGGTAGAGATAACACTTTAGAGTATTGCTGTAAAGCAGAAAAAAAAATGGGGCAGTAGACAGGAGAATGTGGGATCAAGGGAACGTTTTTGTTTGTTTTTAAGGTAAGAGGTATTGCAGTATGTTCATCGTTGATTGAAATGGTTTGGTAGAGTGGATAAAATTGATGATACAGCAGAAAGAGGAGACAGTTACTGGTGTAATGTCCTTGAGTAGGTGAGAAGGAGTGTAATGCCCAGGTTGAGGAACTGACCTTAACTAGGAACAGGATGGTTTATCCATAGTAACAAGATGGAAGGCAGGGGGTATGGGTTCAGATGTTGATAGGCGAGGTGGTTTGGGGAGGTAGATATTGTTGTTCTCTTCTGATTGCTTCTATTTTTTTTTTCAGTGAAATCAGAAGCAAGACTCATCTGAGAGTGAGGATGGGGGAGGAAGTTTTGGAGGTTTGAAGAGACAGGAGAAGGTATGAAGTAGTCATCTTGAGTAGAGACTGCTTTAGACAGATGTAGTAGAGTTGCTAAATAGCACTGAAGGCCTTCTTGAATTTCTGATCATGAGTTTAATGGAAAACCAATTAGCATGATCTTCATTTTTTTTCTAGTCATACTCAGTTGCAAGTACCTAGAGTTGGATTAAGTGAGAGTTAGATGTTACAAAGATTGGGATTTTTAGTCAGATGAGTATGATGAACGAGTAGGGAGGAAAAGATATATAAAAGAAGGTGATCATAATGAGTAATGATGGAATTGAAGTGAGAAAGTGAGAGGAGTGAAGGACAGGTAAAGGTATAGGACCAGTGGGTTGTACAGTAGACCCTGGAGAGATTGAAGAATTACTGGAATTAAGAAATCAGAAAATGAGCTGGAAAAATAGGTGGTAATTGTGGAAAATGAGGTGTTTGAAATTGAGCTAATGGAAGACATGCAGGTACAGCTAAGACTAACAATAAGAGTGACTTAGAGTTGCTGACTGAGGGAAGTAGAGGACAGAATCATTAGTGGAGAGGAGGTCAGTTGCGTCATGATCTAAGATATCATTTATTTGGAAATTGAAATCATGAAGAATTATGACAGGAATTGTATTGGAGAGAGTGATGATAAGCCAGGTGCTAAATCTTCAAGAAATGTGGAGAAATGACCTGGGCATTTAAAGACGAGTTCAACAGTTCATAGTGGCAGGTGGTATAGACTAATGGCATGAGCTGCAGAGCTAGGATGTTTAGAGAAGGTGGGGTACTGGCTTGGAAGTGGCAATGGAAAACAAAAGGACGCCCATCTGCCTCCAGCCTATGGTTTTAAAGGCCAGCTATCACTGCAGAAGCCTGGAAAGAAATAGTATTCATATCCAGGGTTCAGTTAGAGCAAGAAGTAAAGGGCAGTGTTCAGAGAAGAGGTTGAGGATATAGCTTATTAATAATAATATTAATAGTATTAATAAAATGATCTAATGAGGACTCCATTGACCACTTTGGTGCAAGGTTGTGCTAACCAAAACGGAAGAGAGAAAGTAAAAGTAAAACAAGACATTAGTGTTCTATTAAACAGTTCTTCAGAATAACCCTTTAATTAATTTCTGGGTAAAGTACGAGTGTACACCTTGTCATGTGCTATTTCTCAGTGATATTTCTCCCCAACCCCCAGCCTGTCCTAGGGAAGGAGCTACAGAGGGAGGTTAAAGGTAACTGAGAGGTGCAGAACTGCTGATGGAGTGAGGTTTTTTTACAGAAACAGAAGAGAGAGGGATCCAGAGCACAAATTGAGGTTGAGAAGCTTCCTATCTAATGGCTTTAGGTTTGTCATTAAGATAGGTAGGAAAGCCATGTGCTTAATATCATGTGAGAAGCAGCTTGGTAGAGTTTGGTATTGCTTTGATGGAGAAGTGGCTCACTTGTTAAAGAAACATTTGTAGACAAAGTATAATATTCATTCAGATTAGGAATCCATTTTCTAAAGGTACTAGTCTCTCTGATATAATTACCTTATTCAGAAGTCTTAGCATACTGGGTATAAGAAAGGAATAGGCAGGTATTTGGTTTAATTCAGATTGGGTTTTGTTCAGAGGTAAAATAAAAGGGCAGAGAATTGAGGATGCTGAGCGTCGAGTGATCGAAGGACTGTATGATAGGGTCTAATCAAGGTAGGTAAGTAGTGAAGGCAGAGGGGACTGGGGACTGGATACCTAAATGGGGTGAAAAGACTGTTAAATTGTGTTGTGGGTATTAGATCCCTGGAAAGATGTGGCTTTATTCAGGGAATAGGAAGTTTGAATTTAAGATTTCAGATGGAGCACAATATGGTGGAAGTCTAAAATGTCACTTTTGAAATGCATGGTGGAAGCCTGGTGAAAGTGATAATTATTAGAGTTAAGGCAGTTTAGATGCTAGAGGATGGTTTATCCTACATATATATTGAAGTCACCTAAATGTATTGACAAGTACTGGGATAGAGAAAGACTCGGGTATCAAAGTCTTCAATAAATGAAGGGCAGTGTTTAGGAGATAGTTGGCAAAGGTGGCAGGAGTGATGGTGATCTAGATAGATCGTAGAGCTTCAAAGAGACATCACTGAGTAGTGCACGTTTGAATGAAACAATGAAGCAGGGAGGTCAGAGTTCTCGTATATTTGTGTGTCATTCTCTGCTCATGTGGTACACACACCCATTCTTTTATTTATCTCTTCTGCTCCTACTTACCTAATTATTTGTTGTAAGATTTATCTTTTAACAAATAACTTTATTAGTAGGTGATAACTAAAGAACCTACATGAGCCTGTTGAGTATAAGAGCTCATTTGTCTAATTTCTCTGTGGAGACTAATAAGATTGGTTTCTTGGGGCAGGAGGAGTTAGATATTCGAACCCTGCAAACCAAAAATCGCAAGCTGGCAGAAATGCTGGATCAACGGCAGGCCATTGAAGATGAACTCCGGGAACACATTGAAAAACTAGAACGCCGGCAGGCCACTGATGATGCCTCACTATTGATTGTCAACCGGTACTGGAGTCAGGTAGCTCACTTGTTTATTAGTGCAGGTTTTAATTTAAGCCTGTTATCCTTAGTAGTCTCTTCATTTCCAAAATTGTGTCCTTTTGTACTGCCCTTCTGTAGTTTGATGAAAACATCCGCATCATCCTTAAACGTTACGATCTGGAGCAGGGTTTGGGAGACCTCCTCACAGAGAGAAAAGCCCTTGTTGTTCCTGAACCGGAACCAGACTCTGATAGCAATCAAGAACGTAAAGATGACCGAGAAAGAGGCGAGTGTTTCTAGTGAATTCTGTCACTGTGTGGTATCTGGGTTTTTGAGGTAGAGCCTTGTTGTGAGGCTCCATTTGAGGGGGAAAAAACAGTAGATTTTGATATTACAAGTTTTACAATTTTGGGGGCTTCTTTTTTCCTTCTTCTGTCCTCAGGGGAAGGGCAAGAGCCAGCTTTCTCTTTCCTTGCTACTTTGGCCAGCAGTTCCAGTGAAGAGATGGAGTCTCAACTGCAGGAGCGTGTGGAGTCCTCCCGCAGAGCTGTGTCCCAGATTGTGACCGTCTATGACAAATTGCAAGAAAAAGTGGAGCTCTTATCCCGCAAGCTAAACAGTGGAGGTGAGTCGAGAACATGGAGCCGGGAGCAGTCAGGGAGGAATAAGAACTCATTTTTGCAGGCTCTTTTGTAGTTTGCAATCTCACACATTTATTTTATTTTATTTTAGTTTTTTTTCTTTTTTTTGGAGAGGTTTTTGCTATAGGGCACATGCACTCGCCAAACAGAGAGAGAAAGAGAGACAGAAAATGAGAAATCACCCCCCAGGGGGGATGGCCACACCGCAGTCCCTTCTCCTCCATTCTCCTCTCGGGATCTTGGGCATGCGCGCACACACGCCCGGCGTGAGTTTTAAGCCACCCGGTCCAGGACACGAACCACAGTTGACTGCGTGGGAGTCCAGCCATTACGCTAACTGCTGGTCCCTCACGCATTTATTTTTAACCAAACTCCTTGGAATCCTAATCTTTAACATTACAGGTTCTGTCATTACTTTGGCATACACATGTTCGATGAACTCTTCACATTTTGAGTCACAAGGTTTTGTGTTATTTTTTTCCCCCCCGATTTTTGTCTTGAGCACGTGTGCTCATCAGAGATATGGAGAAAGATGGAAAGTGAGAAATCACTTCCCGGAGGGATGGCCATGCTGCAGTCCTTCTCCATTCTGCTCTTGGGATTTTGGGGTACAAATGCACATGCACCTACCATGATTTTCATGCTACTGGGTCTGGGACTTGAACTTCGGAGTTGGCCATGTGGGATCCAGCCGCCTTACCTGCCATGCCACCTGCTGGCCCAAGCCTCAAGTGTTTTAAGAAGCTAAGGAAAGATTTTTATCAGTCTTATTCTCATACTGTATTTATTTACTTAACTTTTTTTAAGGCTTTGGTCATAGGGCACATGTGCTCACCAGAGACAAAAAGAGACAGAGGATTAGTGAGAACTCAATCCCTAAGGGTGGTGTCCACGCCAAAGTCTCTCCTTCTCTAGTCTCCTCTTGGGATTGTCGGGCAGATGTGCACACATGCCCAGTATGATTTTTAAACCACTAGGTCTGGGACTTGAACCATAGCCATCCAGCACCTTAATCACCTCCTGGCCCTTCTCATACTTTATTAATTAGATGCTTTTATAAATAACAGAGCTAATTTTATTATTAAAGGAATAGCTCTGATACCTGGATATATGTATAGTATATACATTGATTTATTAGTAATAACATGTGCTTTATATTGATTATTGGCTTTCATATTTTTGTTTCGTGTTTTTGTTTGAGAGATTTCTTTTTTGTTTTAGGGCACATGTGCCCACTGGAGAGACAGCAAAATATCGCTGCAGTGGGGATGGTCTGGCTGCAGTCCCTTCTCCACTCTCCAGACGGGATTTTGAGCATGTATGCACACACACCCAGCATGAATTTCAAGCTGCCAGGTTCGAGACTTGAACTGCAGTCAGCCACATGAGAGTCCAGTGTCAACCACCCTGCCACCTGCTGGCCTCTATTGACAGCCATTTTTTAAAAAATTTTTTATTAGAGGGACTAGCAGATGGTGTAATGGCTTGTTAGAGGGCATGCATGCTCACCAGGGAGAAAGGGAAGAATGCGTCCCCCAGTGGGATATGATCACACTGTATGTCCTTTCTCTTGTATTTTTTCATCCTGTTGAGATATTGAACATGCACACACATGCATCTGGCATGTCCTTCAGGCTGCTAAGGCCAGGACCTGAACCACAGTTAATCATGTGGAGTCTGACTCCTTTTAATCACTAGGCCATAGGGTTGGCCCAGATACTGAATTTTGACTTCAAAGAGTCATTTTTTTTTTAATTGCCAGTAGGTTTGTATACTTACCCGAGAGAGAATGCACCTCCCATTCGAGCAGTCATGCTGTAGTCCTTTTTCTTCCATTTCTCCATCTCATCAGGGTTTTGGGAATATGCACACATGTGCCTGGTTTGTTTTTCAAGCAGCCAGGGCCAGGATTTGAACCACTGTCAGCCACCTAACCCTGACCCTAGCCATATACATATAAGATCTGGCTTCTATGAATAGCACTTAACCACTGCTCTGTGGGAGTGGTCCAAAGAAAGAAGCTTTTTTTATTTGTTTGTTTTTAAAGTTTTTTTTTTTTTTGAGAGTTTTTTTTTGCTATAGGGTACGTGCGCTCACCAGACAGACAGAGAGAGAGACATAGAGACAGAAAGTGAGAAATCACCCCCCAGGGGGGATGGTCACGCCGCAATCCCTTTTCTTCCATTCTCCTCTCGGGATCTTGGGCACGCACGCACAAGTGCCTGGCGTGAGTTTTAAGCTACTGGGTCCGGGACGCAAACTGCAGTTGACTACGTGGGAGTCCAGTGACATACCCATTACACTAACTGCTGGTTCCCTTGTTTTTAAAGTTTTTAAATGTCTTCCATGAGAGAGAGGAGGAGAAGGAAAGAGAGAGGGGCAGCTCCAAGAGGGTTCTCATTCCATGGTCCATCACCAGCTTTAGCAGCTTGGGTCATATGTACACATGTGCCCATTGTATTCAGGGAGGTGCTGGACCACAAACTGAGAACATTCATATGTGGATCTACTTGCATTACCAGTACTCCACTGTCTGGTCCCCCAAAGGATCTTGTTTTATTATAATATGTTTTTAAAAATTTTTCTGTTAACTGATGTTTTATAAAAGGAGTTGCCTCATATTTTAGAATTGTCAGATAATCTGTATGTTTGAAAAGATTACGTAGAAAATATATGAATAGAAAGTGTTTATTTGCAATAAAATTATTTGGGATTATTATGTTATTCAGTGTTAATGTAGAAATTTATATTTGTACAGTATAGTGAAGTTTTTGTGGAGCTTACTTAAATCTTTAGCTATTTGTGACATAAATCTCTTGCTCAAATGCAAATAAATGCTTTGTTTTCATGTTTTCAATAGTGATCATGGTCTAGTTGTAATATTTTAATTTTCCTGATTATTTTTAAGATATTTGACATTTCATTTCTAAAAAATATAAATAAAATGTAATAGAGTTTGAACCATTGATTGGGCAGGTAAGAATTGTATTATTCTATGGAACCAGCAGTTAGCGTAATGGCTATGTTGCTGGACTCCCATGTAGTTGACCATGGTTGGCATCCTGGACCCAGTGGCTTAAACTCACGCCAGGCATGTGTGTGTCCGTTCCCAAGATCCTGAGAGAATGGAGGAGAAGGGATTGCGGTGTGGCCATCCCTCCTGGGGGGGTGATTTCTCGCTTTCTGTCTCTCTGGCTCTCTCTGTCTGTCTGGTGAGTGCACGCGCCCTATAGCAAAAACCTTTAAAAAAAAAAAAAGAATTGTATTATTCTACAGTTTGTTTTTAAAGCTACTTTAGCCAGATAATGAACAGAATTAAGCAGCATGTAGAGGAGGCGTATGGAAATTTGATTGACGAGGGTTTTTTTTTCTTTCTTTTACAGTATGTGTGTACATTTCTGTATTTTATTATTGGGACAACAAATATGTGTTTTAAAATAGACAAATCAGTTGGTGTAATGGCTGTGTTGCTGGACTCCCATGTAGTCGACTGCGGTTCAAGTCCCAGACTCGGTGGCTTAAACTCATGCTGGGCGCGTGTGTGTGAGTGCCTAAGATCTCGAGAGGAGAGTAGAGAAGAAGAGATTGCGGCATGGCCATCCCCCCTGGGGGATGGCTTTCTGTCTCACTCTCTCTTTCTGGCGAGTGCACACGCCCTATATCAAAAACCTCTCCAAAAAAAAAAATATACTACAAAGTTCTTTCAATTTACATTTTTCAAAGGTAATCATTGTAGACAATGTGTTTTGTGTCCTGCTGGATTTTAGTATTAATATGTTATACCTACTTGCGTGTTCCCAGCGAGCTATGTCTCTTGGTGCGGTGGTTTGACCCCAGTTTCTAGCACTGCATCAGAATGTAGGTACCAAGTAGGTACTTGGTCACTGGGGAATGAATGGATAAGAGTCTTCTCTGTCACCTCATATAAAACAAGTTGTGTTTACTTTTTCCTCATGGCTCTAGATAGAATGGTTAGAAGGTATTTTTAGACCCTATTGAAGTAGAAAATATGCTGTATGCATAGGCCGTGCTAATGTTAAACCTGATTTTATAAATGAATATCAGATAAAATAATTGTCATATTTAAAAAGCAAGTAAGATGATAGGGCCCACATATGGTGTACTAGATACATTGCTGGACTTCTGCATGGCCAGCCGCAGTTCAAACCTGGTGGCTTGAAAATCACACTAGGTGCATGTGCATGCGTGCCCAAGATCCCAGGAGAATGGAGGAGAAGGGGTTGTGGCGTGGCCATCACCCCTGAGGGGTGATTTCTCACTTTCTCTGTCTTTCTCTGGTGAGCATATGCACTCTAAGGTGAAATCTTCTTTAAAAAAAATAATAAACTCAGATGAATGGTCTATTAAGTGGTATTTAAAAATTACTCTTTTTTATTGCATGTATTTTAAGGTTAGATTTAAGTTTAAAAAATTACAAATGACAAATAGCTAAGCATTATTTGTAACACAAAAGACAATTGCTGAACTTTTTAAGAGATATAGATGTATAAAATGTGAATTATAGCATTAGCTATAACTTTCTTGTTAAAAATCTTGCCCCCCATGTTTATTTTGGCCCTTGATTCAAAAGAGTTACATTGGGACCGGGTGGCATGATGGTTAAGGGCGCTGGACTCCCACATGGCCGATGGCCGACTGTGATTTGAATCCTGGACCTGACTGTTTGCTCCCTTCACCCCCCAACCCCTGCCCCGTTTTTCTATGTTCAAATTAAAATAAATAATTAAAGTTAAATAAAATAATTCTTTAAAGAAAAAGAATTGTTTTTATAAGCCTTATTAGTTCACTAAATATTTATTGAGCTTTTATTGAATTCTAGGCTTGTCTCAGTGTTTAGGATATTGAGAAGACTAAAGTTTATTCCCTAGTTCTTAACTCAGATTATGAATCAGAATGACCTTGGGAATTTTCTGAGCATAATCTTTGTTTTTTGTCTTTTCATTTTTAATCCTTCCCATGGAGA